TCAGGGCTCAGTCTTAGGACCTTTGCTCTTTTTGATTTACATCAATGACATAGATGAAGGAATAGTCAATAAATTTGCAAATATCAAGGCCTTGGGTGTTGCTAGCTGTGAAGAGGATGCTGCTAATTTACAAAAGGATTTAGATCATTTAGTAAGTTGGGCAAATATCTGGCACATGGGTTTTAATTATAATAAATGCAAGATAATGCATGTGGGTCATCATAATTTGAATTATAAGTATAATTTGGATGGGAATAACTATAACAGTTTTATGAAAGAAAGGGAACTTGGTGTAATGGTTGATCAGTGTCTTGAGCCACCCAAGCAGTGTGCTGTTGATAGTGGTAGGGCAAATAGGATCTAATCAAAAACACCTTAAATGTTGAAAAGAAAAAGGTGCGGCCATAAAAGGATTCAGTTCCTGACTTAATGGAATGAAATCAAAATTGGCGGCCAAAATGGTAGCTGCACTTATAGCACTGATAAGAATTTTAGATCAAATATTCAATAATTTGTTAACTAGGCCGTCGTTTTTTTTTGTTTTTTTTGTTCAACTTTGGGCATGATGGTGGGTAAAACAAAGTACGTGGCTTAGTTAACTAATGAATGAATATTTGCTGTAAAATTACTATCAATGCTATAAGTGTAGCTATCAGTTTGGCCGCTAACTTTGATTTCATTCCTTTAAATCGAACGCTGAATCCTTTTTTGGCTGCACCTTTTTTTTTTCATACCTAAGGTGTTTTTGATTTAGATATCAGAACTCTTTGTCAATACCCACCAAAAAACCACAGCAAGTAAGAAAGTAACACTCGATAATAACCCACATCACCCTCAGAATTGCAATCCTATTTTTCGGAACAGACCTTTACTTTACAGAACCAATCAGATTCTTTAAAATATATGATGGTGGTTTTTCTTCTCTAAACCAGTGTTAATAACTTCCTTTATAGTGACGTCATGGAATTTAGATCAACAGTTTCTTGTAATCGCCCCCATGAAATCGATATAGTCGTATCAAATATCATTATTTATGCTAATTGCTTAAGCTAATATCACATGACGTTAAACGCTCTATAATTAGAATAATTTCCCAATTTTTTCTAAATATGTGCTGAAAAGTTTGCAATGAATAATAACCGTCCACCCATATGATTCTTCTGAAATCTTGGGCTAGAAACTGCTAATATAGTTTGCTTGGCCTCACTAATACTTATATTTCTACACTTGCTTTCACCTTATAGTTTTTGCTGCTCTAAATCAGCCATCTTTAATCCTAATGACAAAAATAAACTACAAATGGTCCACTTTTACTCTAAGGTGAAACTGCATTAGACCTATAGCTCACATGACTTTTTTTGCATAAGAGTTCGCAAGAATTTTCGTTAAATTTGAGCGATTTTTGTGGAATAACTTCTTTGCACACGTGGCTTATATTTAAAATAAGCCCCCCCCCCAGTGGCACAGCGGTATGTCTGCGGACTTACAACGCTAGAATCCAGGTTTCGATACCCGTGGTGGGCAGAGCATAGAT